CTTAAGTTTTCAAGTGATGTCTGGTTTAACCCTACCGTAGGTACCGGGTCGTTTTTTGGACGAGGTCGGGGGGACCGGGGGGGGTCTCTTTGACCCCCCCCCTAAGAACTCGCGAACGGTATGTCGTATGACCACCAAATTTTCAGAGAATGGTGTACTAGTGAAAATTTATCATATCTACAATTTTTTATGTCGTTATGATGTAATATGACGTCATTATGACGTCATTAATGTGATTTTATTGGCCAAAACCGTACACTACCAAAAATGATTTTTCTTGTTTTTCTTGTTTTTCTTAATTCGTGGACAAATTTTCTTATATGAAGAAATTTCAAGACAAATAAAGAACAAATAAGAAAAGAGCAAGAGATAGTTCAAAGATTTTTTTCTTGTACATTTTCACTACAAGAAACATTTTCTTATTTTTCTTAAATGAAGAAATAATTTCTAGAAAAGTCTTTCTCTGCTTAGAATGTTCTAGAAAATTAAGCTAAATAATCTTGATTTTCTTGTCTGAAGAATTATTTTCTTGCGATGGTTAGAAAATACAAGAATTTTTCCTTTCCCTTTCTTGTATTTCTGATAGTAAGAAAAACAAGAAATCAAGAAATAAAAAAACAAGTAATGACTAGAATAACTTTCTTGAATTTTCTTGTTTTTCATATCAAAAAACTTTGAGAAAGGAACTTCTTGTTTTTCTTGGGATGTTTTAGAAAAAACAAGAATTTTGTTCTTGACTTTCTTGACATATGTAGCTTAGAAGAAAGTGTTTATTGACAGTAAGAATTTTGGTCTTGAACTGAGAACCAAAGTCTCAAAGATTATAGCGGTATATATATTAAGAATTTCTGTCTTGTGGAAAAAGATATGCATTCTTGTTGTAAGAACATGAAACTTAAATAGAAGAAAGGCTTTCTTAACAATAATAATATAATAATTGATAATTAATATCACTCTTAAAGTTAGAAAAGGAATCTTGGTGTAAGAATCTATATTTGGGGCATTAAGATTTTGTTCTTGTTTTTTGTAATTTAGGAAGTTCTAAATTAGTTCAAGAAAATGATTCTTGTTTTTCTTGGTCAGGTTATGTTCAAGAAAATACAAGAATCTGTGTCTTTGCTTTCTTTTTAGACAAAAAAATTGTTGAATTAAAAATCAAATTTAAAACCTAAAAGCAAAGAATACTTAACGTTCTTTAACGTTTCTGTTTTCCTTATCGAGAAAGTTAAAGAAAGATGAGTTTTTTTCCCTGGTAATGTTCAAGATATTAAATGTAAGAATTTTTTTCTTAACATTCTAGCCATAACTGTCATGTGATCTCTTGTGAGCTCCTGATTGGTTAATTCAAATCCTAGAATGCAGTTAGGGATTTTTGAACAGAAGCTGGGGTGAAGTCAGATGTGGGGGCTGAGTGCTCTGTGCTGGTTACTTCTTTTTAGTCAGATATTGACTCCTGTCGTCGGATTTGAAGTCAAAATCAAGGTAAAAAGGAACTTGTGTGCATGTGAAGCAATGGTGATCGTGTCAGCTTGCAGAAGAAACCAACTTTGCAACAGAAAAAGGATGGAACCAAACTCATATAAGGTAAGTGCGCCCCCCCTCCCCACCAAGAAGAAAATCTGTTGACATTGTTTTTAAACTTCATAGCTTATTTGCTACAATTTCTATTGGGGTTGATTTCTAAATTGTATCTCTGGTATATTATAGAGTACAGTGTTTTACTGCATTATAATTATATTATTTTCAATTGTTAACTTGAAGTAATTCAATCCTATTTTAGCATCCTCTTTTGACTTTGTTGTCTTCAGCCCCTGCATGCAATGCAAACTAAGACGGTCTTTCCTGTTTTTTTTCAGGTTTCCAAAGACTGTGACTGTGCCAATGCTATAATGCCAAAGCTGCAGGGTTTGCTGAATGTTTTGGAATGTGATATGATCTGTATTCTAATAATGGCTTGTTAGTTACATCGTATGATATTTTTAAGTTTACTGTAAAACTTGTTTCCATTCAAAGAATGTTAGATTATAGTAACATGTACATAATGAATGTGGTAATGAATATTCCTATACGCTATAATGCCAAGTGTCAAGAGGCCTGTCAAATAATTGTTATAGGATTTTAATTGTTGCAATATCATTCTCTGTAACTTTTGTATATTATTTCTTTTCTTGTGGACAAAATAGTTTTATTGCTACAAGAACATTGAGCTCTAAGTTCAAGAAATCTTTTCTTATGTGCAGAATGTTTTTCTTATTATAAGAACTGTTATCTAGCTCTTAGCTCAACAAATGTTTTCTTGTATACAGAATAATTTTCTTGCTACAGGAATAATTAGCTCTTAGTTCAAGAAATATTTTCTCATGTGCAGAATGGTTTTCTTACTATAAGAACTGTTAGCTCTTAGTTCAAGAAATGTTTTCTTGTATACAGAATGATTTTCTTGCTACAAGAATAATTAGCTCTTAGTTCAAGAAATCTTTTCTCATGTGCAGAATGGTTTTCTTACTATAAGAACAGTTAGCTCTTAGTTCAAGAAATATTTTCTTGTATACAGAATGATTTTCTTGCTACAAGAATAATTAGCTCTTCGTTCAAGAAATCTTTTCTTATGTGCAGAATGTTTTTCTAATTATAAGAACTGTTAGCTAAGCTCTTAGTTCAAGAAATGTTTTCTTGTATACAGAATGATTTTCTTGCTACAAGAATAATTAGCTCTTAGTTCAAGAAATCCTTTCTTGTGTACAGAATGGTTTTCTTATAAGAACAGTTAGCTCTTAGTTCAAGAAATATTTTCTTGTGGGCAGAATGGTTTTCTTGCTATAAGAACAAATAGCTATTAGTTCAAGAAATATTTTCTTATATACAGAATAGTTTTCTTATTACAAGAACAGTTAACTCTTAGTTCAAGAAATATTTTCTTATATACAGAATAGTTTTCTTATTACAAGAACAGTTAGCTCTTAGTTCAAGAAATATTTTCTTGTGGGCAGAATGGTTTTCTTGCTATAAGAACAAATAGCTCTTAGTTCAAGAAATATTTTCTTGTGTAACAGTTAGCTCTTAATTCAAGAAATATTTTCGTGCAAACAAGATAGAGATTCTTCGTGTAAGAACCCGTAATTCTTATAATGAGAAGAATATTATGGGTTTATTAGCTGTAAGAAAAAATCTGAGAATAAGAACAACGTGGCGCGAGTTTCTTGAATTTTCTGGAAACGGGGATTCTTGTTCAAAGAATAAGGTTCTTGCTGACAGTAAAAAGTTCTTTGCACAAGAAAAAAATTCTTCTTTTAGTGCAATGCAAGAACATAAATCTTAATCTTTTTCTAGGTATCACAAGAATTTTGGTCTTGACAGAAGAAATATATTCTGGGTGTGAGATGAAGATTTCTAGCAGATAAGAATGTAGTGTTCTTGGGATAAGAACGAAAATCTTGAAAGAACAAAATAACTCCCAGATTTATAGAATTTTAGGCTTGTATTGAGAACTGCAGTCTTTGTATAAGAACAATTGTCTGCATCACGAACATGTATAGAAATAATCTTACTGTAAGAATAAGATTCTAGAAGTAACCAACAATAACTTATATAGAAACGTATAAGAAAAATATTCTTACTGCAAGAAAAAGTCTATCAAGAAAAAATTACTTAATTCGTGGACAAAATTTCGTTCTTGAATACAGAAAAATTTGCTTCAGGGAAGAAATATTTTCTGACTGTAAGAAAAAACAAGAATGCTAGAAATGTCATTTTTGGTAGTGTATAAATAGGTTTTTCTCTGAAAACTAAATGGTTTTCAACATAACTGTACCAAAAGTGTTTATGACAGAATATTATGGTGTACTAAGTCTTATGTTGCCCATAGCAACACCGGTGACGTCATAAAATGACGTCATGCATATTTAAGATATCCGCCATCTTGGATCATCAATCTTGAATTTTCAAAAATAGTTTTTTTTTCATGATAAAGCCTAAAATACATCGTAAACATACTAAAGACCTTCATTTAAACCTTTTTTTGAAAAAGAAATGGAAGTATTGATGACATTTTAATGAAAATAACCTGTATATACCTGTTCTAATGATATGGTCCGCCATCTTGGATTTTGACCAATGACGTCATCAAATTAGCATAAATTATGCATATTTAATGATAAAATTTACATAAAATTATATGGGATGTTATTAATATTAGAAACCATGAGTTTGTTTGTTTGTTTTGTTTGAGCCTTTATTTCAACTCGATCTGTAACAGTGTTACATGCTCTAATCGGCCGCTATTTCGGCCGCTTTTCATAGAGGTCGAGCGTGGAGGAGTGTCAGGGGTCATATTAAACATAAATACTACTTGCTCACAAATGAAAACAAAGTAATAAATTTTATACATAAGGTAACTCACACAAAGTAAATAAATAAACAAAATGGCAATAACTAATAAATAACTCATAACTCGTTGTGTCCAAAGTCGTCCAGTCAGTTACGATACTAGCAGTCTTTGAAAGGTTCTAAGAGTAGGTGCTGCTCTAACATGCTGAGGAAGAGCGTTCCATACAAGAGAGCCAGAGTAGGCTAGGGATCTCCGGTATATTTCTCTTAATGGCATCGGTACCGCAAGGAGATCAGTCGCGCTTTGTCTGGTGCTTCTGGTCGCTCTATCCCTACAGTATGTGAAAATCCGGCGCATGTACGGCGGTAGTTGGTTGTTCAGGGCCTTATGCAGTAGGAGGGCTTTGTGATGTTTGTGGATTGACCTTACGTCCATCCAGCCCAGACGTCGGTGGACTTCGGCTGATGGAGTTAGATACGTTAGATGAGTAGCTTGACATAAAACCCATAAAATTCTATTGTTGAAACAAAAAGTACTAAATTTAGCAAAAAATGCCTGTCAGAAACCCGTTGCCATGGCAACACAAAAAATTATTATCTTATTCCAATGATAGAGAAATGTTGCCAACAATATTCTAGAAAAAGTCACCAAGTTTGGCCGTTCTGCGGCTAGTCGTTCAGACGCTAGGTGACATCAAAGTTGCCGCGGGTACTTTTAGCCCCCCCCCCCCCCGGTCTAGGTAGGGTTAAATAGAACAAGGGCATCTTTAAAACATTGTTTAACCACGTAAGCACGAACGCCAGGCGCTACATTTCAAATTCAGACCATGTGCACAGGACACGCTACTCATGGCCGTCTCCTTTGTTTACATTTGTGGTACCTGTCACCTGGCGTAAAGAATGACTGAAATGCAAATATTAGTCAGAGCAGTATCCACAACAAAGAGAACACTACAGGAAAAGCCGAGAATGTTTAGTACTTTATATACAGTACCTGGCTTTACAATGTTTTTAATAAAAGTCAAGTCCTGTTAAAGTCCAGAATAAAATACTTACATTTATTTACCGCCATGTTAAATTAAAGTGCTGTTTATAATGTAAACATTACCAAACGTACCTTAGGCTAACTGCCATAAGTGGATACAGCTTTCCGTGTAGTGGAAAAAAAGTGTTAGACATCGTTAAAGCACGAACCCCACAGTGCTATATTTAGAACATGAGTGGTAGGTGAGGTGGGGGAGTACTCTACAAGCACATGTACAGGTTTAGACTTTGTCTTGTTTAGGTTTAGACTTTGGCTTATTTTTGAAGTGCAAGAGGCGTATCTTTTTTGTACTGGTATCTATTTTTCACCAGCCTGGCTAACTTGATACAGCCTTGTAGCCACCAAACGATCTGCTTGGAGGCAGGTGGCGAAGGAATAACTTCCTGTGTGAAGTGTTTATCTTTTAAGACTTCCTTAAGTTAAATCTTCCCTATCGTCAACACGCCGCGTGACGCGGTTTGACTGGGTAAACCTGAAGTCGTGACTCGGTGGTGTCGGTGAACCGTGTCTTATGAACTCTCAGTGACACCTGCAGACGGGATTTCCTGGTGTGGACAGGCGTGTGGCAGGTGAGTGTCTGATTCCTCAGTCTCAAGTCGCTTTAGCCGAATGAAACGTACACAATAATTCAGAGGTGTGTTTAAAACTCACTGGTGTAACCGCCATTGGGCCTAACACACCACCTTCTGTATCTGTGCAGCAGCAAATACCGCCCTTCGGCATAACCAGCTTCTAGAATTCTGTATCTGTATCTGTGTAGCAGGTATAACCGTTCTTTGGCGTAACACACCAGCTTCTGTATCTGTGTAGTAGGTATAACCGTTCTTCGGCATAACACCAGATTCTGTATCTGTATCTGTGTAGCAGGTATAACCGTTCTTCGGCGTAACACGCCAGCTTCTGTATCTGTATCTGTGTAGCAGGTACATGTATAACCACCCTTCGGCGTAATACACCATTTTCTTTGCCTAGATAACCGCCCTTCAGTAACACATTGTTATATGTGAGTATGTTGTAGTAACCTATCACCCTTCAGTAACACATTGTTATATGTGAGTATGTGACAGTAACCTATCACCCTTCAGTAACACATTGTTATTTCAGTAACACATTGTTATACGCTGATGTATGTTGTAGTAACCTATCACCCTTCAGTAACACATTGTTATATGTGAGTATGTGACAGTAACCTATCACCCTTCAGTAACACATTGTTATACGCTGATGTATGTTGTAGTAACCTATCACCCTTCAGTAACACATTGTTATACGCTGATGTATGTTGTAGTAACCTATCACCCTTCAGTAACACATTGTTATACGCTGATCGATGTGAGTATGTGGTAGTAACCTATCACCCTTCAGTAACACATTGTTATACGCTGATGTGAGTATGTGGTAGTAACCTATCACCCTTCAGTAACACATTGTTATATGTGAGTATGTGGTAGTAACCTATCACACCTTACTTTCGCACGTCCAGCTCCAGGTGTTGCTATCTCACGAGAACGCCTCTCCTGTACTTGGTACGTCAGCTGCTCTTAAGATGAACGTCAACTTGACCTTGCCTGTTGTTCTGTTTTCTCCTGTTCTGCCTGAACACCTTCCGTTCGACAAACAGCGGTGAGTACAAGTAATTCTCGGTAATACTCTGTCATGCAAATTCAATCCCAAAGGCCAACTTCCTAACGTATACTCACAGGTAGTGAACATGGAATAAAATTTAGTGTAAGATACTGTTATATCTAACCAAGTGGTTTCAAAAAGATGATCTAACATTGTTATAAGGTTTGAATTTTTTCTTTAAGTCAATGAAAGATTAATGTCCCGCGTCTTGAGTAATGTTTGGATTTTGCGATTAGCAAGTTCCGGATGTAAACATCATCGCACCTTTGAACTGCGAGGCCATATATGGAGCGTAACGGATGTGACGTCAGACCACTGCGAGTGGGACATCAGAACTTTTCCAAACAAGATAATCTTGGTGAGCGTCTGAATTGATTCAGACTTTTGAATGATTTGAACCGTTACTGTTTTTCTTCTTTGTCACAGGAATGTATTTAAAGCTCACATTTCAATATACAAAACGTAGATCTGATAAACGTCTTAGATTTTGATTGATAATATCAGCTCATTTGTCCGAAAGTGTAAACTGTATTGCCAATATCATTGTCCATATTTCAGATTAATTTCGACATCTCCGGCTTCCGGCGAGGTTCGGACAACTGCACAGCCGACGTTCTGACGTTTCACGACGGAAACTCTCCTGGCAGCAGAACTATCGACACGTTCTGTGGAGACCAGACACGTGAGTGTGTGTATGCATGTTTGTGTGTGTTGTGTTTGTGTGCGTGCTACGAGTGTGTGTT